CAAAAAGTAGTATAATAAAATTTTGAATGTAAGACACTAAAACCTTATGTCATGCGCAGTAAAGGGTACCCATGGAGATAGGGATAATGGGAAGTAGGGCAGGGGTGTCCATATTGGTCTAGTGCAGATCACCCCCTCTTATTTGCAAGTTTTCCAGTGGTTTGGACAGCCAGATCGGGCAAAGTGTTTTTCTCCTGCAATAGAAAAGGATTTTCATCTGTATTTCTGTATGTACAGTGAGTAAATGACAGAACAGAACACATATCAAACTGTATGGTCTGATCATTACCCTAGCCACACTATACCTCATGTCCAATTGACCTGTCGTGTGCAAATGCTCTGTTGGTCATAAACTTTTCTCTCCATCCCTGTTACACGTTAGTTTCTTTGCCTTCTTCTTTTCACACTTCTACCTGAGCAAGGAGTATACCCTCCATAAGATGGATGTGTTCTGCCACAAGTGTTGTCCTTCTAGTAAGCCGCCCACTGCTGTAGGGTGTTGCACTTCATGTGCTTTTTCCTTTCAGTCGCCTTCTCTGATGGGAGCTGTCTTAAGTTTTCTCTGTTGTACCAGCCCATCTACATCATCATTGTGGTATTCTAACTATTGTGTGCAGAGAGATAAGTTAAATTTTTCCTTCCCTGAAAAAAGTATTTATGATAGATACTTACTTCTTTGCACTCCTTCTCAGCCTTCCTCACTACTGGTGCACATTAGTGCAAGTGCTTATGTGAATCTACTGCATGTGGAGGATGTGTCACCCTCCTATTAGTGTGATCTGTTGTTGTATGATGATAACATCATGCGCAAGCACAGTTTATGTTAAAACATGTTTCTTAAGTGGGAGATAGCTCAAGGCTCGTGGCATGCAAAAAATCTTAAAGGCAAATGCATGAGGAAGAGCTACTGTGTGCAGATAGGTATGTATCTATCAGAAATACATTTTCAAGTAATAAAAATGTAAACTTTCTGCTCAAATCTTGACAAAATATTTAAAGAATCTCACTTTGATCATAGCTGGTGGTTAGGGTGCTCAACTTGTAATCTGTGTGTCAAGGGCTTGAAACCCATTGTTGAATATGTTTGTCCTTTCAGCCATGGGAGCCTTATGATGTGATAGTCAATCCAAATTTTTATTAGAAAAAAAGAGTAGTAGCAATGGATGGTGTTGACTAACTGTCTTCCGTCTAGTCTGTCATTACTGAATTAGGTATGGCTAGTACAAATAGCTCCCGAGTAGCTATGAGCAAAATTGAACAAACAAATACAACATAAAACTTAATGGATGTTTAAGAGAAAAGTATTATCTTGTTACATCCCAACTAATCTAAAAATATTATTGTGATTAATGTTCTTTATTGCATACAAAATATTAATCAAAGAGTATATTTCATTGTGTTGTTACTATAACAATCTAAAATGAAGTGCTGGTCTAAATGTGGAACTGTTTTAAGACACATGTAATGATATCATTGAGTAACTTTATTCAAACCATTAATTTATGCATATATGTAGGAGTAAACATGGATAATAAAACAAAAGCTTAATTTAAACTGTTAATTTACTGAGACATTGGCAAATGAGAAAAAGTGCAATCTATCACTAAACTTGTGGAATATCAGCAGAGGCATGACACAAATCTGAGTGTGCTGTAGATTTGTTAATAATGTTTTTATAATATAGTATTTGGATTTGAACAATAATTTATTGTGTATAGTTCACCTGCTTATTAAATTTAACTTATAATTGAGCCTGTTTTATGATTAAATGTTTATGTATGTAAGTTATTATTAAATTATGTATGTTTGTATAGTAACCTAATATATCAAAATTTCAAATGATTAACACTGATTAGTTAGCTCTAAAATTTGATTTTATCTTAGATTTTGTCTTATTACAACAAGTTTAATACTAATAGAAAAAGTGTGCAATTTATTCAAAAATATTACTTGAATAAAAATACTGGTAATTGAAAAAAAACTTGAAAAGAGTACCAATTTTCTTGTTTGAAATTAAACCTTTGTATGATAATCCTTTAAAGGTATTAGCTTTTAAAAAAAATCATATGTGTAAGAAACTAAGGTTTGTAATGATGATTCTTTTCAGGCTTTTATTAGCTTCAATGGTTCTGTCATTCATTTGGATTTTACTTATGCGCTTAGTAGCAGGAGTGATGGTTTGGTTAAGCATAATCTGTGTCACAGGATTGCTGGGATTTGGTAAGTTGATGCATGTTGCATACAGATTGGCATCAAGGTAACTAGAAATATATTTATTTTGAAAGGTTCTAAATTTCATTGTAGTTAACATTACATGCCAAAAGATATCATCATTGTTATAATCAGTAGTATCATAATATCAAACATCTGTGATAAGTCACTTTCAGTTAAACCTACACACACACACACACACACATATATATATATATATATATATATACAGTATTCTGAGTGGTAGACTATTTACAAAAACTAAAATTAACTTTTCCTTCGTCCTCTACTATGTACTTTAAGTTAAAGATATAACATACAAATATAC